CAGATCTTCCCCCAGATGTTTCTTATAGCATATATTTTAGGTGTAAGGATTCAGTTCATTTATTAGATGAGAAAAGGCTAAAGGACTGGAGAAGAGAAAAATCTCGAAACTTTGCAATTGCTGTCCAAAGGGAGAAGCACTTTCCCTTCTACTTAGGTTCGAGAGCTCTCAGAGAGCCTGGACCGCCCAACAGGGTCCTGGCATAATGAAGGAGAGGCAATAAAGGGGAAAGAATACCCCATCTTGAAACCTTTATCTGGAATCTTCCTACTCAGCCAGCCTCTCCTGGATTCTCCGTATTTCCGTTGCCATTCTTCGTTGTAAGAGATTTCTCCTGTGATTCTGCCACGAAGGGGGATGGGTCAAATTAAAGACAGTAAATAAGAACACTGGGACAAGCAGTACCAGGAACCTGACCATTTCCCTCTACCTTGTCCTCTCTAGTGAATGATAGCTGAAAGGCATGGCGCCTGTGTGCCTTACTAAGCATGACCTCCTGCCTACTTGTTTTAACTTGGAAATTATATATTCATAAATAGAAATGTTTCCATTGATTTGCAAAGTCTCATGAGTCTGGTCCACTGTTTTTAGCCATGTTTAATAGTATTTTTTTGAGGTGTTTTTTTTTTTAGGTTTAAAAAATAAAGTTACATGTGCTTTTCAGTTTAATTTAGTGCATACTTTATTGTACTTACTCTCATTGTTGGCTAATGAACAAGCATTTTAAGACCAAGCTGGAAGAGAGCTATAAAAATACCCATTTTTGGAAAGCTTCACTTGTTCTGCATCTGTGCCTTTTCTGGCCACTTGTCGTTATAGTAAAACTCCATTATGGCACTTCAGTTGAGTAAGTGTTTGCTGCCACAGTGCAGTGTAGCACACAAAATGCCAATTTCCAATCTAGCCTTTTGTTGGAAGACTGTGAAGAAGCTTTTCTGAGGAACGCTGAAGGAAAACCACGATTAATCTATCATCGTTTGGAGGATGGAAAAGTCAGTTCCAACTCTGTCCAGCATTTGATTGATCAAGTTTCTGACCTAAACAAGACCAACAAAGCCAAGGTAAAATTCACAGGATTTTCGGAAGAGCATGCTTGGCTGAGGGAAATGCTAGAGCAAAGGCATGAGGTGGACATGGGCCTGGCATGCTTGGGAAAAGAGAGAAGCCAGTGTGGCTGAAGCAGATGAGTGAGGGGTGTAGTAGGAAAATTCTTCAGTTGTGAAGAACATTGGAGGCCATTTTGAGGAGCTTGGCTTTTCCCTTGAAGTAAAATGGGGAGCCGTGGCAAGACTTTAAGCAAAATATTGACGAGACCCATTGTGATCATCTGACAATGATCTTTTTGGCTGCTGTGTTAAGAATAGACAGTTGTTTGTGTGGTAGTGTGCATAATCCGAGAGCTGCTGCTGTCATCCAGGTGAGAGATGCTGGTGGCTCAGAGCAGGTTGGTGATAGAGAAGATGATGAGAAGTGGTATGATTCTGGATCAATTTTGACAGTACAGCCATCAGGGTTTCCTAACGGATTGGTTGTGGGCTCTGAGAAAAAGAGAGGAATAAATAGCAATGTGTGGCTAGAAAGAATACGAATCTGTGAGTGGACAAATCAGATTGTTTTTTGCGCTTTTCTCCCAAGTACAGAGTCCTTCTATCTACTGACCAAGATTTAGTGTAAGGAGGAGACTTTCTAAAAAATATAGACTATTTTTTTTAAGTGTAGAGACAGGGTGTCATTTTGTTGCCCAGTCTCGAACTCCTGGGCTCAAACGATCCTCCTGCCTCGGCCTCCCAAAGTGCTGGGATTACATGTGTGAGCCACCTCATCCAGTCAAAAGGTCATTATGTGACCTTTCCTAAGAGCACTGGGAAAAACAAAAGGCTGATGATAGCAGTGAGAAAAATTTGATCATCCCCAGATGAATGACAGGATAATTTTTAGAGTAGAGATGACAGGTTTTCATTGCTGTACAATGAGGTAATTTGGTAAATATAGTTAATGTGAAGAATAGAATTGAAAACAACTCCAGGATCTTGATACAAGTTTTTATTTCTCTGTACCCAGCCAGAAAATAAGGTCAAATGTAAATATAAGCACTTTTATTTGTATCATTTAATATTGAAAAGATAGCTTAAGACCAGCATGACATATAAAACCAAAGAGCCTGAGACAAAAAAGAAGTGCATTTTATTATAATCTTCATGGCCATTTCATTCTTTGTTTTAATTATTTTAGTATCAGCCTAGTCCACTAGGTCCCACAGGAAAAGATATTCCTCATCTTATCTTCATCCTATTTATTCTGTAAATACTGCTTCTAAAAAATTAGTACACTGGAAGGATGAGTTTATTTTATAAAAATAGGAGCAAAATTAGATCTCTCTACCATGATTATAAATACAAATGTAGGGTAAATTTCCATGCTGGTTCATTTGGTGTGCTTTGTAAAATCATTGCTTTGTTCTAATTTTAATTCAAATATTAATCATTTTATAGCAATATATACTTTACAGATAGGGCATTCTTCTTTTAATAAACTCAGAAAGACTACTGTTTTACATAGCAAGATACTGTTTTGCTTTTTTTTGTTGTTACAGCTTTACTGACATAATTGATTTTGATGCATTTTAAAGGGTGTGTATATTGAGTGGTATGGAAACACATAAGACAAAATTTGGACACATAGGGCAAAATAATGTATACTTTTTGTTTTACTGCACCATTGTTCACACTAAATCCTTTGCGTGACCTTGGACAAGTTACTTAACCTGCCTTAGTGAAATGGGGATAATAGTAGTATCTCCCTCATAAGGTGGTTGTGAGGATAATTGAGCTAATATATGTTAAATACTTGGAATATTTTCTGACACATAAGCACTATAAAAGTGTTTACCACACCACTTCCTCCTGCTATTATTATTATTTGTTCTTGTTATTGTTAAACATTTTTTTTCCAGATTATCGATCACTCAGGAGATCCTGCAGAAGGAGTATATAAAACTTATATTTGTGTGGAAAAGATTATTAAACAGGTAAATATCCATTCACTGTAAGATTTCATCTAAAATACTTTAAGACTGTTTTCTATAAAACTGAGTTTTCCACAGAAAACCACTGTTTGTGTTTTGAAAACAGCACCTGAGGGAAGGGCCGGTGTTTCTGTTGGGAGTCTGTCTGGCGGTATGATTGTGGCATTCCTAGGACCCTGTGTCTTTATCTCTCATCTGTCTCACAGAGCTGTTTGATGCTCCAATACATGTAAAATGTAAAATGTGTTACCAAAGTGCTAGTTAAAAAGTAGTTGAGGGGAAATGTTCATTTTATTCGATAGAGAAGCTCCTCAGATTCTGTGTGCCCTTGAATTTTCATATATTAGAGAAGTCCTCCTCAGATTTTCCAACCCCGTTATCTCTAACAGCAGAGAGGGATGAAAGAAAACCTCCAAGGGGATGAGAACATGGACCATGGAGGGGTCTTGAGTTGGGAGTTTCTATGAAGTTTCTTATATTAAAAATGTCTTTCAGTTATATATTCTGCTTGATATGCCTGTTTATGTTTAATATAAAAAACATTTTAAATTATGTATCAGCAAAAATAGTAACAATGATAATAAAAAGATAAATAACCCCCACATGTTCAAGTAAAATGAGCACAATGGGAAAATGTACTGTGGTTAGCCTGGGGTTGCCCTTACCTCCTGACACCTCCTCAGGGAACCAGCGACCCTATTTGAGAAATAAGGGATTAGATTATTTTTCATAATTAACTTGTATCACAGTATGAAGATTTGTTATTAGAGAACAAGAGTAATCCCCAAAGCATAATAGTATGACCTCTGGCAACACATTTTGTATAGCGCTCTCTAGTATAAAGGTCGCCATTGTCAATTTTGATCTTCTCAACAATTCTGTGAATTTTAGGACCAAGATAAACAAAATTAATTGAACAGAATGCATGGCAGCAAGTGAAACTGGACATATTTACCATCTTTATTGCTTGAAGGACAGCATATTTTCAGTTACCTAATATAAGACAACAGAAATATATCAAGAAATCACATCTTAGTAATTTAATTCTTATAGTATATTTCTTAGGCATTAACACAACTTTTATAATTATTCACCAGCTGGATACAACCAAAAATTTTGTGTAACATTTTTCAGAAAACAAATCCCATGGAGGTCAAATATCTCTCTAAATTTAGTTTTAATAAAAAAGTCTTTGTTTTTAATGTTTTAGTATTTTTTATTTCTTTGTTTTTAAATTAGTGTTATTTTTATAGTTATACATTTATGCTTGTGGGTATTATACAGAGGCCATAGGTTTGAACTTGCCCTCCTCAGTAGGTGAAGCCCACTTTGAGCCTGTGCACTAACCCCTGCTACAAGATCTTTATGTTCTTCATTCATTTTTGTGTGCTTGCTCTTTTTGTTTAGGATATATTGGGCTTTGAGAACATAGACCTGGAGACTAAGGATTTGGGCAGGGAAGATTCCATTCCAGAAGATGATTTTGGTGACGTTCTATGGGACATACATGATGAACAAGAGCAAATGGAAACTTTTCAGCAGGCATCTAATTCAGACCATGAGTTGGGATTCGAGAAAGTAAGTATTTGGAGTATTATTCCAACAAAGATCAGTCACCACTTAAAGGCTGTATTGTGATTGTATTTTCACCTAAATATAGTCAAGGTTTATGATTGTGTTAGTTGTCTGCTCTCATGGCTTGATTATCCATGTTGAGACATGCTTAGGTTTGTACCATATGAAAGATATGAGATTCAAATATATTTATGAACACCAAATATTTTTAGTTACAGGTTAGGATTTACTAACCACATGTTCGTTACGCCACCATCTGCAACTCACCCAACCAGGATTAGGATAGCTGGGAAACTTGAGAAGAATAATAAGGCTATCTACTTTTCTAGTTCTTAAAGAAATCAAAATATCAAACAGTTGGAAAACAAAGTACAGTAGTTCATGCAGTAAGCAGATCAATCCTTTCTTATTGGTCTTGCAACATCCTAAACAAATTAAGAGAACTTAAAGTGTATAAAGAAATCTATGTTCAAGTTCAAAAATAATATTTGAAAAATAATGTTATGATCTAATATTTTAAAGAATATTACAGTAACTAAAATTAACAATTATATTTTTATAGAACTTTTATAATTTGGACTGTCTGTGTTTATGTGCTGGTTTCATCATTTTCTAACGGGATTTTGATCAAATTACTTGGCCATTCTAAACTTGACTTTCTTATCTGTAAAATGAGAATAACTAATAGTACCTACCTCATAGGGCTGCTGTGAGGATTAAACCGGATAATGCACATAAAGTGCTTAGCACAATACCAGGCACATAATAGATGTTAAATTAGGCCAGGTGCAGTGGCTCACGCTTGTAATCCCAGCACTTTGGGAGGCTGGGGCAAAGAGGATCACTTGAGGCCAGGAGTTCAGGACCAGTCTGGGCAACATAGTGAGACCTTGTGTCTACAAAAATAAGAAAAATTAGCCAGGTGTGGTGGCTCACACCTGTAGTCCCAGCGACTCGGAAGGCTGAGGCAGGAGGATCCCTTGAGTCCAGGAGTTTGAGGCTTCAGCAAGCTATGATCATGCCACTGCACTCCAGCCTGGCAACAGTGTGAGACCCCATCTCTAAAAGAATAAAAATAATAAAATAAATGTTAAATTAGTTGTTATTTTGTAAGAGAGGTATTGCTATTGTCATCTTATAAATGAAGAAGCTGAGGTTCAGATTATGGTGAACCTCAGTTCACCATAAAAGCACATAGGGAGCACATTGTAGATCTGGGAGTTGAGTCTAGTTTTTCTGGCTCCAAATCGTATGCTTTTTCTTCTATAGCAAGAGTTCTTAACTTGGGAACCATGGGTCTGTAAATGGGCTTTATGTGGGACCATGAACTAAGTTACTGGGATTTACAAGACAAATCAATAAAGCCTTCCTTCACTCACAGAATGCTGCAGGGGGCTACTTGTATCACACTTCCTTCAGAAGCATCATTTCTATCAGAATTATTTGAGTTCCTGGGGAATATATTCTGTATTTAGATATAACAAGCAGAAAAAATGGTTGAGAAACTATACCAAGTAATCATTTATTGTAGTTGCTGGAGAATTTTGCTACTCTTAAAGCCAGCATAAATCTAGCCACAAAGTACTTATTACACATTTTTTAAAAATTCCTCATCAGCTATTATTTAGACCACTTGTCCACCTAAAGAACATCTCAACTCCAAAGATAACTTTGGGAACTCCTTAATAAGTACTAAGATATTTTGTTTTTCTGAGTGTGTTCTTTTCAGCTCTGAACCAGTTTTGAGCTGGGAAATATGGGTTTGGGGACTTCACATAGAACTCACTTAATTTCAGCAAGATCTCAGGCACCCTGTCTTAACCTGATTCTCTTGGGCAGGTTGGGAGACTCTAAGGCCCAGATGAAACCTGCTGTTATTTTGACCTATTCTCAGCAATCCCTGGAAACTGAGGTAGTCTTCGGGACAGGTGTTTGTTCTTCTGACCAGGGGATTAGGATGCGTGCCGGGCCCTCAAGGCCTTCCGTGGTACTTTGTGTGGTATGGGGGCTACGATGTGATGCAGTGAGCTCCCTGCAGCATTCTGCAAACATCTGAATGTTGCAAAACCCCACGTGGACCTGATGTGTTGTCATCCGTTAGTTTTCAGCAATACTACGTGTAGAAGAAATTGGGGCCCATTCTTAGTTTACTAGTTCAGGCACGTTTCACCAGCCATAAAAAATAAGCAATTACGAGAGTACTGTCAACTAAAAGTAGATTTCGTTTTCTCACGCAGCTTTTCTCCAATGCTTTCAGAGAATAATCAGAAGTTGACTGTCTTCAGAATTCTCAGAGGCATGTGCTTCCTCACAACTTAAATTCATTTTTGTTCCTAGTATTACCAACGCCTTAATGATCTAGTGGCGGCACCAGCGCCAATTCCACCCCTTCTGGTGTCTGGAGGACCAGGTTCTGGAAAGTCCCTTCTTTTATCAAAGTGGTATGATGCAGTGCAATTAATTTGTTCTTATCATCATCGTCTTTTGAATTACTGAGTTCATTCAACAAAATGTATTGCATGTCTGCCTTCTGCATGGCCTAAACATTAAAAAAGCACGAAGGAGTAAAATAATAGGCTCATGGCCTGAAATGTATAGAATTTAAATGTCAGAAGATACAGAATGAGAAAGGAATAGGAAAGTGAGCATTTATGAATGTGTACATAAATTACATAAATAAGAGCTATGGCAGAGCTACGTAAGGGAGTGATCAGAGTGATGTGGAATTAGGTGGATTATAGAGAAATGTGCCTTTATTTTTAATTATTCATCTTAAAAGTTTCATTGGGATTTTAAATATTTGAAACAAGACAAAAACAGACTATTTAGAGTAAAATAAATCCTGTGGAACCTCAAAATTAAGGGTAACCTTTACTATGAATGCAATCTAGTTCTTCAAATTATGGACTAAGGTTCATATAAGCTAATAAACTTTGTTGTTATATTATTTGAAAACAAGTAGTAAGAATATTTTCTTTCATTACTATTTGCATTGAAGAGTCAGTATATGTAATTGTTTTCTTCTTATTGCCCTTTCATTTAAAGTTATGTTTGGAAAATAATATTTTTATACCTGACGGATTTTTCTGTAATAGCACATTTTTAATTAAAAGTTAATGCTTACTTTACTAATACCTTAATCTCCGATGTAAACTACTTTTGTTTACATTAATTAACATCAATTTGTATTTAAAATAAATCTGCGATTTTTTTAATATTATTTAAAAGAACCTACAAATGGAGTAAAAACAGAAATCTCTGTATTTATTTGAAAGTGACTGACCATCTTATTGCTGACAGATAGGCGCATTTACTGTTTAGTGTATTGTAAATTCTCTTTTATGTTGACAGTAAAGGAGCTTCATCAGTCTCACTGAAGTTCTTTCCTTTTCAGGATTCAGTTACAACAGAAGAATTCCCCTAACACACTGATTCTTTCTCATTTTGTGGGGAGGCCCATGTCAACCAGCTCAGAGTCTTCCTTGATTATTAAACGACTAAGTCTAAAGGTATAGTATGCTATCTTTTGGAATTATCAGAATTTTATTTAGATTCAGAAATTGTTGTGACTAATAAGTACCTATGCTAATTAGGTACCTAATTTTCAATATTATCCACTTGTTTTTTGTATAAGATTAAAAAATAATACATGATGAGTGCGATGCGCACCATCTGGGGGATGGACACGCTTGAAGCTCTGACTCGGGGGCGGGCTGGGGGGGGAGGGCAACATACGTAACCTAAACATCTGTACCCCCATAATATGCTGAAATAATAATAAAATAATAATAATAATACCCAATAAAATCAGGTCCTCTTGGTGACCCAATTTTGGTTTAAAAAGTAGGGATAGAAATATTTCCCACCATCTCAGATAAAGTGTAACGTCTTTACTTGGTATGTGTTCTGTTCTTGTAGTTGATGCAGCACTCTTGGTCAGTGTCTGCTCTGACGTTGGATCCTGCTAAACTTCTGGAAGAATTTCCACGTTGGCTAGAAAAACTCTCTGCTCGTCATCAAGGCAGCATCATCATCATTATTGATTCTATAGATCAAGTTCAGGTATTGTTTTCACTTCGTAATTTATTAATGTACTCAGAAAGAAACGAAAATATCAGTAATGGCTATAGCAGGCATTTAAATTATATGTTTATGAAAAGAAAATGTTGATGTTGTTTTTTTATTTCTGCTTAATTTCTAAGGAGGAAAGTATGTGGATAAAAAAATGTACTGTATGCCAGTAGACACTAGTGCCTTATTGGGAAAGACAACCAAATTTACACAATTAGGAAAGTGCTCGTTTTGACATATTTTTAGGGCTTTGACATTTCCTTAAATGTCTAGAGTTCAAATTGGTGATGATGGTGTTTTGCCACTTGTTCCTTTAAAATTCTAAGATAAATCATCCAAAGATGAGATTTTTATCCTTAATAAAAATAAGAAAAACTTAATGGGAATTTTATTTTATTTGGAGAGCTATTACTGAACTGTTTTGAAATACTTTGATTAATAGATTGAATTTTGTTTTTATATTTTTAAGCAAGTTGAAAAACACATGAAATGGCTGATAGATCCCCTGCCAGTGAATGTAAGAGTAATTGTTTCTGTGAATGTAGAAACATGCCCTCCAGCATGGAGGTACGATGCTAACTTTAGTTCTTTCAGATTACGTGAAATGTTTTAAGTAGAAACAAGGAAAGGTTTTTGAGATGGATTTGTGTTTTTCATATAAGTGGCAGTGAGGGCAGGGAGAAGTGGATGAATTCAAGAAGAAGATACAATCCTTGGGATTTGGTGGGAGGTTAGATCTGGGATATGAGGGGAAAGGATGATTCCTGAGTTTCTCACTTGAGAAATTAAGTAAATGTGGTTTCATGAACTGAAATAGGAAACACAGAGGACAGGAAAGTTTGTGGGGGAAAGGTGGTGAGTTTAGTTTTTAGACATGGCTTGTTTGAGTTACCAGTTGTAGCTCCAGGTGACTGGTAGGCAGTTAAATTTTTGGATGAGGAAAACAGGGAAAGGGCCGAGCTGGGAATAATAGCCAAGACACTTATTGTCTTGAAATTCAAGCTCACTTCAATGGCCCTCAAAAAAGGAATACAGTGGTTGAATTCTGCGGGGCAGTGTTTCTCAACCTATTTTTGCCCCCTAAGAAGCCTTTTTAGATATTTTCTTTCTAATCACTCCCCCCGAAGAAATTTTAATACCACACACATACTGTATATAAACAGATATATGTGTATATTTGTGCTTTATACATAAAAAGATAAGATTTTTTCACTTCCTCAGAAGAAACAATTTTCACTACCACATTGAGAATGCATGTTGTTATAATTAATTTCCAATTGCATTATAAGTACTTATGGACAACTGTGTCTTATACCAGTCCTCATACATAGGAGATAATACCTGTGCTTAGTTTTACTGGTAGCATAAGATGTAGAACTAGAAATATTTTACCACTTAGCTATCTTTTATATGTATATATGTATACACACACTATTTATTTTATAATACTCTGTTATGATTTATTGCTGAAAGTAACGATACATATGTTAGAGCGAAATAAATTACTATTTTTTAATGTGATTAACAGAGATTGGTTTTGATTATTTTATAAAGGTAGTATAAAAAAAATTAATTCCTGTCATGGATTCTAACTTGTAGGTAGATTACAGTTCTTGATGTATTATTAGAATTTCATTTTTCTTTTCTTTAAATAAAAGGTTGTGGCCTACACTTCATCTTGATCCTTTAAATCCAAAAGATGCAAAATCTATTATAATTGCAGAATGCCAGTCTGTAGACATTAAGTTGAATAAAGAGCAGGTAAGTGTTTTTAATTTTGATACTGTCTTTTACTATCAGCTTTCCTATAAAAAAAAACCTCATGAGACTTAAAATTCAATATAGGAGCTCTGTTGTTATAGGGAAAATTGGAGTTTAGTAATTAGTAAGTGCATTCCCTCTTAAACTAATGACAGGTAGAGAAAAAGCAGTAAAAAACATTTAGGTCTTAAGGTTTACTTTACTATATAATATTAGGCAGGTATTTTACGAGCAAAAGATATTTGCCATGTCTGTGGTCTGCAGTTAGAAGGCTGGCCATAGCCAAGGATTTTGCACTACACAGTGTGACATCCCTGGTGGCAGAAACAGTATCTTTTCTGCTGGGATATTTATTACTGGCTCAGTAGTAAAGACCGCTTAATTCCAGGGTGGTTTTTGTATTTTCATTTTGTTTTTTTTGGTAAACTGGTGTAGGAGAAGAAGCTAGAACGACACTGTCGTTCTGCTACAACCTGCAACGCCCTTTATGTCACCCTTTTCGGCAAAATGATTGCACGGTAAGTGGTGGTTATTTTACACGATCTTCTGCATGTTTGTGTTTGCTGCAGATCTCTTCCTCACCGTGCAAAACTGAGAACTGATCATTACAACAGTCTCTTGGGCCACTCAGATTCTGTTCTTTCTAATGGTGATACAACATTCTATGAGAATGTGACTTATAACTGAGATTGAGTAGCCCGTGATTTATCAGAACTTGTTAATAGATTTGGCTAATTTTCATCACACTAACCTTTTCCCTACTGGAAGTTGCAAGAGAAAGCCATCTTCACCCTCATTTGGAGCCGACCCATGAGTGCTCATTGCCGCCTGCCTGAGGCCCCTAGCTTTGGGAAAGTGGAGGAAACGGCTGAGGTGTAAGAATGTTATTTCAGGTGTCCTTGAATATTTGTAGGTAGGTAGGTAGGTAGGTATGTAGGCAGGAATTTTTAATTGTCTCTGTTCTCAATTCCTGATAAAGCCTTCATCGTAAAGTAGTTCTTCTATTTAAGATACCCATTAGTAATCTGCTTTAGATAAGCATTAGAATGTTTTCCTACTTTGATTTCTTCAGTACCTCTTTAATCTACTTTGTTCTCAACCAGAGGTAAAGATGAATACTTTTTTTGGTATTCACCATAATCGATAGCAATTCTAGTACAACTCATATTTCTAGACGTTGAATCTAGTTCTCTTGTCCCTTAATACCACGTTCTCATCTTGAGCACCAAATTCGAATCTTCTGGGCTGGGCACTGTTGTTTACGCCTGTAATCCTAGCACTCTGGGAAGCTGAGGTGGGAGGATCACTTGAGGTCAGGAGTTCGAGGCCAGCCTAAGCATGAGTGAAACCCTGTTTCTACTTAAAATAGAAAAAAAAACTTAGGCAACTAAAAATAGAAAAAATTAGCCAGGCGTGGTGGTGTGTGTCTGTAGTCCCAGCTACTCGGGAGGCTGAGGCAGTAGGATCGCTTGAGCCCAGGAGTTTGAGGTTGCCATGAGCTAGGCTGACGCCATGGCACTCTAGCCCAGGCAACAGAGTGAGGCTCTGTCTCAAAAAAAAAAGAAAAAAATGGAATCTTCTGAAACTTTAAATTGCCCATGATATTTCTACCATTCTTTCCCAGTGTTAGAGTTGTGGTGATGTTTCTGGCCTCTGTGAACATCAGTAGTACAATAAGTACAATTTAAGAGTGTGAATCATTTTCTGTACATCTCATAGTATTTATTGAAAGTATTTTAAGAGGGACTATGGACCATTTTTTTTCTGTTTATATTTATAAAATATAAATCTTTAAAAATGAAACTACTAGTAAATATTCTATAATATTTTAAAACAGACTCCTCTATTTACTGATTTTGTTTATTTTAGCCTGATGTTTTCAAAATTCTGACTGTACACAAATTTAATTTGTGTGTCTAACTAACTAACAATACTAATCATTATTTCCCTGCTTCCTGTATATAGATGGCATGCTTCTGGATGATAAGAACCATATCTTACTAATTTTTATATTCCATAAGGCATAGTAATTGCTTGATGTATAGTTAAGTGTCAGCATATGTTTATTAAATTGAATTAAATGGTATATAGCAAAGTAAACTCCATGACTCTAGCAGCCCCATAAAACTACCATTTTCCTGTATCATGTTTTATTGAATTCCTGTTATTAGTTGCAGTACAAAAAAAATAGAGATCGCATAGTTTTTATCTACTTCAAATTTTTCACACATTGGCAGTTTATAAGAAATTAAGTCTCTTCTCAATTCCAACAGTGCTGGGAGAGCAGGCAGTTTAGATAAAATCCTTCATCAGTGTTTCCAGTGTCAAGATACTGTTTCATTATACAGACTGGTTCTGCGCTCTATCCAGGAGTCCATGGCAAATGATGTGGATAAGGAACTAATGAAACAGGTAAAGTAAAATGAACTTATAAAAGGAAGCTTAGTTTGCCTTGTTTGTATTTGTGTGTCAATTGTAGTAAATAACAGTTCTTTTTAAATTTGTGCTTAAACATGTTTCAAGCATATGCAGGAATGCTGGCAGCCATAGTGTGCTTGTAGAAATTTGCATCTTCCTGATAATCACTGAGATTTATCACCTTTTCATATTTATTGGCTATCCTTGTTTCCTCTTACGTGAATTGCTGGTTCAAGTCCTTACCCATTTTTTAATTGGCTTGTTTGTCTTTCTTATTGATCTGTAGGAGTTCTTAAATGTTCTGCATACCGAATACAAATCCTTTAGTATAGAATTTACAAATAAATGTCTTTTTCCTGTTTGTTTCTTGTTTCAGCTTTATGGTATCATTCATTATACGAAGTTTTATTCTGATGAAGTCAAATTTATCAACAGCTTCCTTTGTGGTTTATACCTGTTATATGTTTAAAAATTCTTTGCTATCTTCCAAAGATACATGATTAGCAAAAAAGAGAAAAAAAAGAAAAGAAAATTCTTTGCTCTCATAAAGCATTCCCATACACACGCGCGCACGCACACACACCCACACACACACACACACACACACACACACACACACTTGCCTTCAAAAACTTCATGTGTAAGTTCTTAACTCATGTTGATTTATTTTTATTGTGTGAGGGAAGTGACCTACTTTTTCATCTTTTGTCATAGAGCTAATTAATTGTTCTTTTTACTAAATAGTGTATCTTGCTGATCTGCAGTGCCACCTGACAAATATCAAGCTCACATATATAAATATCAGTCTGTTTCTAGGCTCTTCTGTTCCAATTTTGCCTATTCCTTGTCAATACCACACTGTCTTCATTGTTAGGACTTTAAGCTTTGATATTTGCTTGGGCAAATCCCCTTTTATTATTATTCTTCACAATTGTCTTAGCTAATTTTCCATCTGTATTTTTAGAATTTAGCTCCTAAAGTGCCATGGAACCTCATTTTGGAATGTTAATTGGAATTACATTGAATTGAGAGATTAAATTGGAGAGAATTATCATATAAGTTTTTCCTTCCATAAAAAGCTAAATAACTCCATTACTTAGTTAACTTCTTTAATGACTTTCAATAATGTTTTATCTTCTTCCCCATGAAGCTCCTGCACATCTATTGTTAAGATTTGTTTCTAAGAGCTTTAAAATTAAAATAACAATTTTAATTTTTAATGTATTCCATTTTAATTTTTGGAAATTGATTTTATATCTGGCAACCTTGCTGAACTCTTAAAATTGGAACCTAGACCCATTTTTACATTAATTTTTCCACTTGGTGGTTCCTGGAGTTTTGACTTCTCATCCTATCCCCAAGCCCACAAGCTTCCTTGTATTCTTTCCTTGTCTGTGAGCTAATGTTTTCCTCATGCTCCCCTTCACTGAGAGAGAATGTCCTTCAAAGCCTTTCAAAGGTCCTAGTATTAACAAGGTTTCTAGTTCCAACTCCTTGCACAGGGCGTAAGGGCTCACCTTCCATTCCACTGAGGGTGTGAAAGCCCACACCCTTAAATTCCTGGGGCTGCTCGCTGCCTGTCCTCTATCTCCACTGCAGCTCCAGCACTTAGCCCTCCGATTTCCGTTTCCTGTTCATTTTTGGCACCTGCAGGATTTCCCTTTCCTTTTTCCAGGCTTAACTGCGTTTTCAGAAATACGTCTGGTATTTGTAGACATTTGTAATGGAAGGGCTGTTTTTCCACTGTCTTCCCAGAATTGGAATTCTGTCATTAGGTGGTTTTTGGTTTTGGTTGGGTTTTTTTGTTTTTTGTTTTATTATTTTTTGTTTTTTTGGTTTTTTTTGGAGACAAGGGCTCACTGCCTAGAGTGCAGTGGCATCATCATAGCTCACTGCAACCTCAAATTACTGGGCTCAAGAGATCCTCCTGCCTCAACCTCCCAAGTAGCTGGGACTACAGGAATGCGCCACCACACCCAGCTGATTTTTCTGTTTTTTGTAGAGACAGGGTTTTGCTCTTGCTCAGGCTGGTCTCAAACTCCCAGCCTCAAGCAATCCTCCTGCCTTGGCTCCAAAAGTGCTAGGATTATAGGCATAAGCCACGGAGCTTGGCCGGTCATTAGTTTTAAATAATAATATTTCACGCAGTTTTCATTTTCACTAAACTTTGTGTAATCTTTGGCATGCTAGATTTTATATATACACTATCTTATTCTTGATTAATGCCTTTTGGACAGTGTGTTTTATTTTAAGAAATTTGTTTCTTGGTTTATTAAATCATTTGATTATAAGTTTGGGTAAAAAGTTAATAAGCTTAAAAGAACTATGGAAATTTTAATGGATATTAGCTACTGATAGAGCTACCTTATGATCATTGTTTATTGGTTTTTCTACCTAGATTCTCTGCCTCATCAATGTTAGTCACAATGGCTTGAGCGAATCAGAATTGATGGAACTCTATCCTGAGATGTCCTGGGCTGTCTTGACCTCTCTTATTCACAGTTTACATAAAATGTGTTTGTTGACTTATGGCTGTGGCTTGCTCAGGTTTCAACATCTGCAGGTAAGTATTATTTTAAGCATCTTTTAAGATTTTTTACTTATAAATGTCAACATATTATTCCATGTTATATTATGCTATATTATTTTATATGTTTCAGTTACAAGAGAAAATTGATATCTGAAATTTTATACTATAATCTTTTTGATGATTTTAGGTTAGATGTAAAATTTAGTTAATATTATGCTTATGTAGTACCTTTATGAGGTGGATATTATTTTAAAAGGTAGTTTCTGCCAAATGAATAAGTTCTAGGGATTTGCCGTATAACATTGTCCCTATAATTACCAATACTATATTTTACACTTAAAAAATTATTAAATGGGTAGATCTCATGTTGTGTTCTTACCACAATAAAATTTTAAAAATTGTAAAAAGTACCAGTCACAAAAGACCAAAAGAAACTTTTTTGAGGTAGTTTCTTTCTGGAAGAGAAAAAAATTATTTTTCAATTTTATGTTCCATTGAATTGCTGGTATCATTATACAGTCATGTGTCACTTACCAACAGGGATATGTTCTGAGAAATGCATCATTAGGTGATTTCATCATTGTACAAACATCAGAGTGTACTTATGCAAACCTAGATGGTGTAGCCTACTACACAGCTAGGCTATGTGGCATGGCCTATTTCTCCTAGGCTACAAATCTGTATAGCTTGTTGCTGTACTGAATACTGTAGGCAGTTGTAACACAGTGGTAAGTATTTTTATATCTAAACATAGAAACTGTATAGTAAAAATATGGCATAAAAGATTTAAAAAATGATATGCCTGTACAGGGCAACTCCATTGTAATCTTACAGGACCACCATCATATATGCAGTCTGTTGTTGACCAAAACATCATTACATAGCACTTGACTGTATATGTAGTATGAGCTTGGACTCTGTAAGTCAGTCAGCCTCCTTTCATAACTCAAATTTTCACAGCTTATAGCTGTCTAACTTTGGGCAAGTTCTGATCCCTGTGCAGACTTTTCCAATTTGCGAAAGGGGTTGTGAAGACAGTTAATTCAAGTGGTCCTTGGTCCTTGTGAGGTACTAGACATGATGTCCAGCACGTAATAGTAAATCTTTAGGAACTATTGCTAATATAATTCTTATCATATGCAATGCCATGCTTGATTTATATATGTATACAAATGAAATCTTTCCTTTGAGTGTGCTGTATTTGTAGTTGTGAAACGTTTGTAATTTCACAGCCTTATCTTGCTCCTTTATTGCGTATCACTTGAATATAATTCTTTTTAGTAACTTTTCACTCCACATTTCTGAGATTTTTAATGTATTAACTAAAATTTTGAATTAAATTGGGTTTTAAGTTCTTAGTAGTACAGGAATTTTTATTCTAACATCAGTTTATCACATAAATACATCCTGAATTTAAAAATGTTCTAATGACATTTCTGTTATACAACTATAAAATGAAAATAATTATAAACTCCTTTTTACAAATTTTTGTTAGATGTACAGTGACATAAAATAGAATGCAATAGTTTTTCTTTTTCTCCCTAGGCTTGGGAAGCAGTGAGATTGGAGTACATGGAATGTCCCACCATAATTTCTTCATACAAGCAAAAGCTAATCAACTATTTCACCTTGCAGCTAAGGTATTATAAATGTCCATATTGTTCTTCTGTAACTCCTGTAACACATTCTAACTTTTTTTCCTTCTCTTTCTTAGCTTAAAGTATAAAAATTTAATTTTTACAAAAAAGATTAAATCCCTTCCTTATTCTATTAATGTCAAAAGTTCAGAAGATGATTTTGTAAGTTTTTTAATATTATGCTAAGGGTTTACACTTAAGAAAAATCAATGCAGGATCATTTTTTATTATTTTATTCCAGTTAAACAGTTTAAAATATGTGTGCATGTAAGGTATCTGTGTGTGTAGTTGGGTCCTTTGAGAATTATTTTTAATAGTTCGATTTTAGAAAAATACCTTTAGAGTTTGGTTGATGGTTCTGAATATCACTGAATTTATTTTCATAGTTAGGTTGGTAAAGTTTCTGATTTGACCAAACTTTCTCAATATTAGATTATGCTTAAAGAGTCAGAGATACACATTAAATATATTTTTCTTCCTTCAACATTTGTCCGAAGGCTTTTCGGAGCAACCTCATAGTAGGAAGATATTAGTGAGTGTTGTCTCCTCTCTTCTCATAGTCAGGACAGAGTGACTTGGAGAAGTGCAGATGAGCTCCCTTGGCTTTTTCAGCAGCAGGGAAGTAAACAGAAGTTGCATGATTGCCTTCTCAATCTCTTCGTGTCTCAAAACCTTTATAAAAGGTAAGAAACTTATTATAGAATATCTTTCCATAGAAAGATTTAAACAGTTATTAAGTTTAACAAAAAAAAAAATAGCATTTTTAATTTAAAAATCAGTCCAGTTTCAGTGGTACCCAAAATACAAACAGTGTGGGAGAAGTTTTGAAACAATTTGCAAATTGCTATGAGATCTACTTTTTCCAAGAGAAAGACAGAGTATTGCTGCTTCATAAAATCAGAGGTGGAATGATTTAGGGACAAGGTTATGTTTTATTTTTACGTTTAAGCAGGTTTAAATCTAAACTACCCTGAAAGGTAGTTCATAATAGCTGCTTCTTAGGACCTTTAGATATCTCAAAGTGTAGCCTTAAAACCAGACTCTAGGCTCCAGATGGAATCTGTCTAGTGTTGAATTTAAAGAAAGGGTTACCCTGATTCATAAATGTACTGTGTTTGTCTCTTTTGGTATGTTTGAGTTTGTCAGTAGCAGAACTTCTGACCTGCTAAGTCAGTCAGCAAGCTAAGCTTCTGACTTAACTAAGGTTCATAAGGGGGTTTTTCTGCCCCATTTAGAAATTTAGGCACTTTTCATAAAATAGCTGCATAATTTGCTTTGCTCCTGAGTGAACTCTCTTAAATTTCTTTGTTTCACCTCTTAAATTATTTCTGATGTCCATTCCAATTTTTCATGATTCCTTTAAATCAGATTTATTCTTTAGTTGTACCAGGCCATGGCCTGTTAGGAACCTGGCCGCACATCACTACCTGAACTCTCCCCTCTACCCCCACCCCGTGGAAAAATGGTCTTCCTCAGTTCTGTGGAACATAGCAGGAAGTGAGCAGTGGGCCAGCGAGCAAGTGAGGGAAGCTTCGTGTAGTTACAGCCACCGCACTCCATCGCTCACGTCACCGCCTGAGCTCCACCTCCACCTCCCAACCCCATCTGTGGAAAAATTGTCTTCCATGAAACCCGTCCCTAGTGCCAAAAAGGTTGGGGACCACTGGTACCAGTTCTCCTATCCTACTTAAAAGCATCTACAGCAGCAGTCCCCAACCTTTTTGGCCCCAGGGACCCGTTGCAGGGAGGTGTTGGGGAGGCAGGCGGAGCTCAGGCAGTGATGTGAGCAATGGCGAGTGGCTGTAAATACAGATGAATCTTCACTGGCTTGCCTGCCACTCACTTCCTGCTGTGCAGGCCCCCAATCTGCCCAGGTTCCTAGGTTCCTAAGTTTCATGGAAGACAATTTTTCCACAGATAGGGAGGGGGAGGGAAAGAGGGCAAAGCTCTGCGGCCTAGTCCCTAACAGGCCACAGACTCGTACTGGTCCGCAGCCCAGGGATTGGGGCCCACAGGTCTATAGAACAGATGAATAAGCTCACTTCTTATCATTCAATTACTTTATGAAAATGCAAAGTGGATACTCTAGGACAGTTTGGCTGTGTTTCATTAGTTTCTTCTCTTCCAAATTTCCATCATTTAAAATAATTTTTTAGGTGAACTCAGCAGTTGACTACATATATAGAAGATTCAGGTAAATTTCTACTGGTGATTAGCCATGATGATGTTAATGATAACAGCCAACACCATGAAGTAGTTACTATGTGCCATAATCTCTTACAGTAACACCTGGGACAAGTAGTGTTGTTGTCTGATTTCTGTACATAAGGATGATGAGGTCTAAGAGGTCAGACAGCCTGCTCAAGATCACACACAGCTAGGAAGCGGTGGAACTCAGATGACAGTCTGAGTCCTACCTCACACACTATACTTGCCTACTAATAAATTGTCAATAACTTGATATGAATTCTGACATTTTCATTCTATAGTGGATTTTAAAATTTGTTTTTCATTGAATTACTGTTATTTGTTGAAACAGAGGACACTTTGCTGAGTTGCTGAGTTATTGGCAGTTTGTGGGCAAAGACAAAAGCGCGATGGCAACAGAATACTTTGATTCATTGAAGCAGTATGAGAAAAACTGTGAAGGCGAAGAGAACATGATTTGCTTAGCTGATCTTTATGAAACCCTGGGGCGATTTCTCAAGGATCTAGGCCTTCTCAGTCAGGTAAGCTCAGCACCTCAGTGGAAAGTCAGAGACTTTTCATGTTTACTTTTCTCTTCTTCCAAGGAGTTAATGCGGTTTTCATTTGTTGTGCTGGGATCTTTAATGTTTAATCAGATGACAGATCTTGACAGCATTTTACTCACTTTAATTGGCCTTTCACCCTTTTTTCCACAGGCTGTGGTGCCTCTGCAGAGGTCTCTAGAAATTCGAGAAACAGCTTTAGATCCAGATCACCCAAGAGTAGCCCAGTCCCTCCACCAGCTAGCAAGTGTGTATGTGCAGTGGAAGAAGTTTGGCAATGCAGAACAACTGTATAAACAGGCATTGGAAATCTCAGAAAATGCTTATGGTGCAGACCATCCACACACTGCTCGTGAACTTGAGGCACTTGCAACTTTGTACCAGAAACAAAATAAGTAAGATTTAGATCAGTAATACTCCGATTTTATAAAGAGAAGTTAGTTTTTTAATGTACTTACGAGGTAGGCTTTGCTTTGTGGTTGTGTTCTTTTCCTTACCCTGTGCATCGTGTTCACATAATATGTCTTGATCTGGATCTTCATGGGGTAGACAAGGAGAC